AGGAAAGAGTAATACCATATAAAATTGGCTCAACTCAGATGTTACAAATTAGCTTAAGACTATTGTTAAAACCACATAAAGCAATTGTTTTATGTTAACAGAACAGGATAACCACACGCATTCCAGAGTCTGAGCTCTTTAAGATCAGCTATGAGCATTCATTTGTTTTCAGTTACCACGAGCTTTGTTTTTCTTTCCTAACTGCCATTTAAAATTTAAGGGCATTTATAATTGGTGGATGACTTCCATCCAACACAGCTCCCCGCATTTTGCTGCAGCTCAGCTACAACTATTTGTGGAAGTGGGCAGCAATTAGAAAATAATGGAGACAGGCCTCTGGGCAGGCACACCCTTCACGATCAGCAGTAGTTGCTGTTTACAATAGCAAGTTTGAACTATTTCGGTAAAAAAATACCTTAAGAAATAACAATACCAAGAAAAACAGTCAGGGTTAAGTAATCCAATGCCAACTCATGACTTATAATTCTAAAGTTGTTGCACTTGAGTATTTCTGCAGCCAACAGCCTTAGTTCAAAAAAATAAATTCTTTTATTTATACATTCCAGTCCCATTAAAATTAATCACATAACTGTTGAGAAAAGGATTAGGCAGGTAAGAGTTAGTCCTTCCTCAAGTGAAAGGCCAGAACCTAATGCATGTCACTGTTTCAAACTCCTGATAATCCCCACCAAGACATTTATCTTGTTTATCTGGAAGGCAAACACAGGCTGCTCATGCTTTCCAAAGTGTGCAGAAGGATGGGAAGGGGAGAGACTTACATGGACAAGTTAGGAGATGGAACCCTACTATCATCAGCTAGGTTCCCAAGGTGGCTCAGCGTTGAAGTCGAACTGTTCTCTATAAAGCACTTCTCCTAAGCCCTCTGGATAGTTGTAAACCTGATCAGAGATTTTGCCCTGTGGGAGAAAACAGACACAAAACCAGAAGAATTAACAAGAACAAAATAAAAACTTTAAATGCATTTAAGTGTTTTAAGATATAGTCATGCTTTTGAGGGGGAATGCAACATCCCCCTATTAAGGTTTGCAATACATAAAATGCCCAGTTTTAAAGAGTGAATGCAAATTCTCAAGGCAGTTGAAGATAGATTTATGAAGAACTGCTAGCACAGACATTAGGCACATGGAATTACGTGAACTTCTGCAGTCCAAAATAGAAGACTTTCAAGGCCAAAAGCAAGGAGCTCTATATGATCCTGCTTTACCAAAGGATCTCAACATTTGACTACCATCACAGAGGTTTCCAAACCCACTGCAATTTCCCCCTCCTCACAACCTCCTTCCTACTCCTTTACCATCATCTCTGCTGTGAATTAAGACTTATGTGGGTAAAAAGAAAATCACAGGTGAAAACTAGGCATTACATGGTGATGCTGAAAAACACACAAGTCTGGAGATGAGCAAGACTAAAAACATTTGTTTGCCTTCAGAGATGAGAAAACATTTCAGATGGCCCTAGTATTGTCACACACAACACAACACGAACATTTTAAAGTACAAGGCTAGTTAACTTAAATAATGGTCAAGGGCCATACAAACCACTACACTGAACAGAAAATATTCTGGGAACACTAGCCAGCCATGCTGACAGTTCTCTAAATGGACCTGTCAGGTTTTAATGAAATTAAACATATCACATAACCCAAGACATACCAAGTGTCCATAAATTCAGTGCAGTCTCTGGCACAAAGTGCAGAGCATACCGATATATATTAAAAATAAATTTTTAATGCTGCCATTATTTAAACAAGACTATGCATGGAGATGGTAAGAGCCTGGCTTCTGGGCAACAGAGCCCAAATGATCATCTTTCAAACCAAAGCACAGTTAAGCAAACTGACGTGCATTTTCCCAGTTAAACTTGCTATTAAGCGTGCTTTATACAATACTGAATTACAGGCAAAAATAATGCAATTTGAGATCAGCTGTTTCACAGCAACTCCATAGTACAATTGCTTTGACCTTGCCATATAAGTTCGCCTTCTGTAACATAATAAACCTTGGTGCTTCAAACTGAAGCAAACAGATAAAGACTTGTCAGCTAGAATGAACATATATGCACAGTGCATTTAATCTTTCTCCTTTCACTAACGCTAGTTAGCGATATCTTATTTTCAGATTATGCACAGAGCAGTTTTAAAAGCAAGCAACAACTTTGCTTTTGTAAACTTAGTCACTAAATACATTATTTGCTATTGCTGTTATACTCAAGAACTTTTTTCAGTAAACAAATTTACCTTCCTAGCAAAGTCATTAAGAACAGTGCTTCTAGGGGGAAAACACAATCTTCGAAACAAAACTCAGAGGCTGTCAGATGCGCAAATCAGCAGTAATATTGCCACAAATATTCTCACATCTCCCAAGCAGAACAGCTTCCTTGGAGTTGGAATGAAGCCTGATTATTTTCTGTAGTGATAGGAAAGTACAAACTGTGCTAAGGTCTAACAGCACTTCAGAATTTTTTAATGTGTGGATGTGAAATATTTATCTGAAGATTCTACACAGCTGCACAGAAAACACAGCTTTATTTGCTTCTTGCATCCAGGTTTGCCAATATTAAACATTCAGAGACGAAAACAGTCTGATTTAAGCCTTTTAAATCCACCATTTCACTTTGTAAAGCAAATAATGAAAAAAGAGCTAGTTTGCTCCACCGTAGTAAAGCAGAATTACCATTTTAAGCAGCAGACATCTAATATATGCTCATAGTTCATGCAAATAGTTTTTTTTAAAATGCCCAAGTGAAGGGCCATAATGAAATACCCCTTTGTCTAAAGTAGGTGCAAGTGTTTTGTTAAATAACAAGCTTTAAGCTGTGAGATTAGTCAACAAGGCAGCTTTGTCTTAAATCTCAGGTGACACCTCTATTTATTCATTATGTACCTGCAAGGATATTCTACTAGCAGGTGCTTTGAGTTTAACTGCTGCTGTCCTGCATGACACACATGTGAGGAAGATAAGCCCAGCAGTCACCCCAGCATGGGGTTTTGCCAACACAACTGCATTCACCTGACAAACCCTATCAGAAGGGCTGGGGCAGTGCAGGCCAGGCCCTTCCCAGCTCATGGGCCCCTTCTACCCCGCAACAGGCCCACAAAACTCTGAGCATGGACCTTCTTTGACAAGATGATCCACTGCGTCTCTCAACTTCTAAAGGGACCTTTGGTTTAGAGCTAAGACACTCATGAGCTAAAGCCTGAAAACCTACAAGCGTAATGACCTCACATCTACACCAACTGACAGACTCAGAGGCACCAGTCACTCTAGCCCAGGAGAAAAGCCAAGCTATTCTTGTTACAGTAACTCTTTTCCAGACCAGTGCTAAGACATTCTTGGAGGAGCGGTCTGAGGGACAGCACTGCTCTGCTTGCTCTCCTGAGGAGCCGTCTGCCAGGAATCTCCCATCTAGAGCACTCTTTCTCCTAGCTCAACAGCTCTTTGAACTTATCCCATACCTAAATTGGTCCATTAAATGATTAAGTCTCCCTTCAGGAAGGGACAGGCTTAATTCTCTGCCAGAGCAGCCTGTCTCTGCTTTAATTGGAGAAACTGAATCATTTTCAAGTCATGCGATCCAGCTGAGCATTACCCTCAAACACCTGCAGCAGCCTCTTAAAAAGCAATAAGCACAGCAAGACTAGCCAAGATGCAGAAGTTGCTTGCCCGGGGCAAGCTGCAGCGCTGAAAGGTGCGGCAAGTCCAACCTCTTGCCTCAAGTAAGACGGTCTCCGCAGGAGAAACATTCACATTACTACGTTACCACCCAACAAAACGCTCTTCTCAGCCTGCTCCCTGGGTGCAGGGCTGCCTGCTGGGCCTCCAGGAGGAGGCAGGGATGGAGGAGAGGCTGGAGCCCAGCTCGGAGGCCGTGGCACCACCAGCACCTGCAGCTTTGTTCACTCCGAGACAGGAAGGCAGGAACTAGACTGGACCAGTCCAGGCTGGAACAAACCCCTCCTCCCATCCCCCTCATTCGCAGCCCCCCAGCGCTGCGGCCTCTCCGGTATCTGGGAAGAGGAGCAAGTGCAGCAGCCTCAGAGCCCAACAGCTGCCGTGCGGATGGGGCAGGAGAAGCCCAGCCTCGCTGCTCCCCAACTCGGGGAAGCAGGAGAGGGAGCCCCTCGCCAGGCACCGCAGTCCCGCTCGGGGCAGCTCTGCTCCACCATGGATGCACAATGGAATCGTGCTCCGTCACTGCTGCAGAGGGCTGAAATGCAGCACTCGTGGCAGCTGACACACATCGGCTGTGCAGGATTTTCACAGTGCAGAAAACACCCCAGAAAGGCTAGAAAGATTTAAGCTTGCTTACTTTTCCACCTCCTGGGCCCATCCTAGCACAAATACATCTTCTCCGGCCGTGCACGAGTCTAG